TACTCATATTTGCATGTTTTCAAACTGCTCGGTTGGCAGAAGCTTGGGCTAACAGTGGGGGTCACCCCACTCCGCGGATTCAAACTGCTTTTGCTCAGTAAGTTCAGCACCTCAGTGGTTTAACCCGCTATACGACCAGGGTGCCCTACACATACACACACAAATACACTCTACTTTCTTCACTGACAACAGGACCTCTGAAGATGCCATTAGCCACAGATGCAGGTGAAACGCCAGGAGATAATGTTGCTGGAACATGGCCATACAGCCCAAAAAACCCATAACAACCCAGTGATTCCAGCCATGAAAGCCTTCAACAACACATCATGTATTAATTAATATTCAATTTTATTTGTATTAGGACCTCCAAATGAAAAAAAATAAAATGAAAATTTTCAATTGTTGCACTGTAGGATTATAGAAACAAGGCAGTGCAAAATTTGCTCTGCTTTTGGTGCAGGAAACAGTGTTTTCTGCACAAGAAAAAAAGAATTTTTTGCATAGAAAATGCTATTTTCTGTGCTGAAAAAAAAGAATATTCTCATTAGTCCTGCATTCCTCTTATCAAGGTTTTCTGACATTCAAGGGATATAACCATACTTATAATAATATTGAAACATTCACATCTAGCTCCAGCAGACAAGAGTCCTTTGTCCCACCTTGGTCTTTCCACAGATATATAAACCCATTTTCCTAGTTCCAACAGACCTCACTACCTCAGAGGATGCTTGCCATAGATGCAGGCGAAACGTCAGGGGAAAATGCCTCTAGAACATGGCCATATAGCCAAAAAAAAAAACCCTACAACAACCCACTATAATAATATTCTTTGTGCTCTTATTAATTGCGTCCCAATGAAGATTATATGTGACCATTTCTTCCTTCCCCAAAAGAGAAAGCCAAAGAAGCCTATGATCTCAGCTATCTGAAAAAACATCCCCAACCAAATATGTTTGCTGAGAACACAAAATCACGAATTGGGCCATCCAGAAAGGAATCACTAGTGCCTTGTCTTGCACCAATACATTGCACCAGAAAAAAAAAGAAAGAAAACGTGTTAATTGGAACCAGAAGTTTGTTTACAAGTGTAAGAAAGGTCGCCTGTATCTAAAAGGATTAAAAAAGGGGCTGTAAGGCTCTAACCTTCATTTTCTACACCAAAGAAATGAGGGAAACCTTAAACATTCTGGTCACGCCGAGCCATTCCTCAGAAGTACTCAGAAAAAGGGGGCTTACAGTCAGGAATGATTGATAGATGAATGAATGGACACATACACAAACACGTACAACTTTTCTTCATGCTTTTCAGTGCCATGAACTGCTACTAAGAGAAAACTATGATCGTCCTCCACTTTTGGTACACTCTGTTCTACCCTTTGATCATTTTAGTCGCCTTCCTCTGGACACATTCCAGCTTGTCAATATCTCTCTTGAATTGTGGTGCCCAGAATTGGACACAATATTCCAGGTGTGGTCTAACCAAAGCAGAATAGAGGGGTAGCATGACTTCCCTAGATATAGATATGCCCAAATGTGAACACTGGTGGAGTTTGGGCAAAATAGACTTGACATTTGAGAGTTGTAGTTGCTGGGATTTATAGTTCACCTACAATCAAAGAGCATTCTGAACCCCACCAACGATAGATTTAGGTCAAACAACCCACACAGAACCCCCATGACTTAGAGAAAATATTATGTTTTCTGATGGCCTTTGGTGACCACTCTGACACCCCTTCATCACCCCCCAGGGGCCCCAACTTCCAGGTTAAACACTGGACCATATAATGGAGATTCAAACTGTATTAAATGGCAGTGTAGATCCAGCCTTCAATACTCAAAATGCATACAAAAGATGGATAGAATGCCTCAGGGAAAAGCTGACCTAGATTGCAACAAATGAAAAGAAGGAGGCTTTCCTATTTCCTAAGAGATGCTCTTCATTAAAAATAAAAAGTCACTGATGTTATGCACAGAAAACAAGCGCACGAGGGAGATGGCCAAGTTATTGCCTTCTCTCTTTGATGCTGTGTTTGTGCATTGGTTTTAACAAGGAAGAGGATTTATCAGGGTACATCCGCACTGTGGAATTAATGCAGTTTGACATCACTTTAAAACTGCCCTGAATCAGTGCAATGGAATCCTTAGAATTGTGGTTTGGAGAGGCATCAGCCCTCTTTGGCATAGAAGGCAAAAGCCCTTGCAAAACCAAAGCTCACGTGATTACATAGTGTGAAGCCATAATGCAGTGTTTCTCAACCTGGGACCCCTGGGGGGGTCGCAAGGGGGTTTGTGCGCCAGCTGCGCCCGTACCTTGGGAAGTCTGACTTGGCCACGGTGGTCC